AACCTAATGGGAAGAATTTTCTTGTTCTATTGTTAGAATAATGCATATTGGCTGAAGTACTATCTTTACTAGCTGGGAACAGGTTACTTGATGGAAAACTGAAAATATGTTTTTAAGTTTCATGTAGGTTTTTATTCTGGAAATGTAGGTGCAAGACAGATTTTTTTGAACACAAAATGAAAAGAGGAGAATGAATTGTCCCTCTTGGGGGAATTATGGAGCGTCTCAGAGGCCTACTTTTGATTCGCTCCTTAAATCATCCACATTCTCATCTGATTCTTTTCTACAGCTTCCACTATTCAGAGGAGTCTCTGACTTCTCTTGTCTTACTGCCATGCCTTGTCCCACTTCTACCACCTGCTGCGGTCATTGCTGGATCACTCACCTCTTTCTAAAGACAGCAAGGCTAGAGGTTTTCCTCGAAGAGCTGCTCTAGTTCAAACAGGAATCAATTCAGGGAAGTCTCATGGCCTGTGTTATGCAGGAGGTCAGACCAGATGATCACGGGGGGCCCTCTGGGTCCTATAATCTATGAATCAATATTATTTAAATTCTTCCCAAGTGTTCTTCTCCATTGTCGTAGCCAAACACCTCTGAAATGTATCGACATGGCATATCACCCGCTGGCTGCGGTCTTGTAGCTCTATGCCACTGCTCTACTTCTACACTCATCTCAGATCAGTTTCAATGGTAAATTATTTATCAACCTATCTTATTCTACCCACATTTCTATAGTGTGCACCAGCATTTATTAGTAGATATTTGATAATTAAGTATGTTATAGGTTATAACAATTACATTAAATTTTAAATTAATCTCCTAGAACTGGAAGGGACCTTGAAAGGTCATCGAGTCCAGTCCCTTGTCTTCACAGCAGGACCAAGTAGCACTCCTGATGAATTTTTGCCCCAAATGGCCTCCACAAGGATTGAACTCACAACCCTGGGTTTAGCAAGCCAATGCTCAAACCACTGAGCTATCCCTCCCCTACCAATGTATCAATATATTGATACCATCTGAAATAAGGTTCTGTTTCAGAGGGATTATACTTTTGCCATAACAATTCATTCTAGAGTAAAAACTGACTAAATCTTTCATCTAGGAAGAAACATTTCAAAAACAAATATGCATAGCATTATGATGCGTGAGATTTTAAAAAATGTGTTCCGGTTTATGGCCGCTTTGAACTCTCAAAATACAAAATTCAAAGTGACTCACCAGCTACCTTTCAGAAGGGTTTTAACTATTCCTGTTCAGTACCCATAGTTGTGCACCCCAATATAAATGTATGATGATGAGGAATGGATCCAATAGTATTAGCAATTGACCATGGGATTGCTCCACTGTACACAAGATGCACACAAATTCCCATTAGCAGTGATACAACTTTTGGGCATACGTATCATGGGCAAAAAAGAACCTATTAATGGTAAATAAATGTCAATGTCCTGGGATAACAATAAAGCTCTTGTATACTTATGTAACATTCAGCTGGGCAAATACAAGTTTTTAATTACTCAAAGAAAAAAGGGGAAAAGCTGTGTACTAAACTCTGGATGTCAATGATTGGTGTGCAGAGAAAAGCATGTACCTTCAAACATGGAGCCGAACTCTTCCTTCAGACAGGTACGCATGACTCCCCTTGAAATCACAGACACCCCACTCTCCAAGTAGCTACAGCCTGGAATTCTCACCTGAATCTCATCTACTACCCCTCCGAGATCAGCATGATCGACCCTTTTCGTCATGCTGCTGGTTTGCTTCCCAGCAGCCTTAGTCAATCCTAGCTCTCTAGACCCAACACACATTGTGGTATGCCACGTCAACTAGGGAGCCATACACCTTTATGCTAAATTACAGGACAGTGTTTCAGGAGAATGGCTTGTGACAAAGCTCTAACTTAAATTTGGTGGGTCCCGCGCTTCCAAGCGGATTTGCTGGCCTCCGAGGCTCACAGCGGCCCCCAATTCTAGGTGTGACACCCAAGAACCCAGGCCCACCCTCTACTCCGAGTTGCAGCCCAGGGCCCTGTGAGAATAGCTGCCTGAGTGAGTCCCCGCCCCGTGCTATAAGTCAGCTCCAAGATCTCTGGGCTACTTCCCCAGCACCTCCTTCTCTCTGGTTTGTCCTCCTGGTGTCCACTTGTTGTCTCTTTTCCTCCTACTCCCTGCGGCCTTTCCTCCCTCCTCTCAGCTACAGGTGTCAAGCCTGGGCTGGCTCTGCAGGCCTGGCCAATCAGCCCCAGGCGTTCAATTGCTCCTGATTGCCTCTGCTGGTTCTAGACCAGTCCCATCCTGGGAACAAAGATCTCCTCAGTCTGAGGCTGATCTCTCTCTCCTCCAATACTTTTCCAGGCCTTCTGGTCTGACCCTGTCACAGACTGTACCAGTTCATTTTCTCTTTATGATTATTTTCACGCTCTGTAAGGTCCTTTTAAACCATAAAGGGCGAGGAACTGGAATCAAATTAGAGAGATGTTTAGATAAACAAAAGTATGTGCAGGGGAAAACCCTCTCATTTTGAACTCTTTGTAAATGGTTCCCCCAACCACCAATTAAGACTTTAAAATCTTTCATTGCGTTACTGCAAGATTTTGCATGGTAAGGCTGAGTGAAACCATGCGTAGACATTTATACCCTGTGCAACCCAAATGTTACAATTCCATCAGAGAAAGCACTGCTAAGATCAGTAGCATCCTTAAGTACATTCTGCTTTTGTTAATCTTTGCGATTAGGGCCAGAGATACACACCCCCTTGCAAAACGTTGCTTTCATTGCATGCATGACACTGCACTCCTTATGCTGTATGCTTTTGCATCATGATGTGGTTGTCTTGCCATTTGCAAACAAGTCTAGTCTCTGCCATTGGCCTAGACTTGTATGCTGTCTATGCAGCTTTGTTTTATAGGTCTAATTAAATGATTCTTCCCTCTCATTTGCTAACACCTTCATTAAAGAATGACCATTTTTAATACACTTATAAATATCCTCTATTCTTTGAAAGATCAAGTCTTTTTTGTGCACCTATCTGCTTTGACCATTGATACCACTAATAATTTGGTGTCTAAAGAATTCACCTGTTAAGTGTCTGAATTCACATGACTTGGCTTTATTATACTGGTCTGTAGCATAATGGTAAATGGTTTCACCTAGGAGCTAGTGGCCTGTACAGAAAACATGCCTTTTCCCCAAGTGATATTCTTGAATAGATCCTCAGTGTCTTTGTAACATTTGAATTGCTCTGTCTAGCAGTTGGCATCTCCTGATGTTCTCCCACAAACTTGTACATTTCTTTTACCCTGGATATTTCATATTGTATAATGATTTACCTGCTAATATATCCACACTCTGATCGCTTCCACTTATTAAAAAAATGCAAACTAATTCTTGATCCCACAAACACATTTTACTTAAAGGTTGTATAGCCTCAAAAACTGAACAAAATATCAGTGTGCATATGTTTTTACTGAATGGGGTTTTCCCCCCAATCAATTAAGTAAATGGAAAAAACTCCACTGGTTTGTTGCCTAAAACCAGAAATCTAATGCTGATGAATGTCCAGCAGGGTGACAAAATGAACAGCTTCTCCTTGACAAGAATCTCTTTGTCCAGACTGGGAATACGTTGAAGAAGGGGGACAATTTGATATACTCATTTGACAAGAGAGATCTGCAAGGTCAAAGGGGAATGGCTGAGATACTTTGGATACAGACCCAGGCTGGTTAAGATTTCAGATATTATGTTTTATGAGGTGAGGTAAGGAGCTCAACATTTGTTCTAAGTACATTTCTCTACCTTGTGGTATGGAGGCAACACAGTACAATGCATATTCATAGAGTCCCAGGCCTAAAAGGACTGTGGTTTTGATCTCCTGCATAATACAGGCCAGAGAACACAATTAAAAAATGTACTTAGACTATTGGCACATGCTATACCGTTCTCTATTGGACTGAGCAGCCCATTATTAAATATTAGATTAGTCAATATTCCCTACGTAGGTACTAATACACTGTAGTCAAGTCACTCCTCTTTGTTAAGATGGAAGGAAATTAGAGACTGAACCCTCATTCTGTCTTGTACAGTTCAAGATCTGATTGGCAACTCAGATTAGACTCCACACCCCAACTTGTATGAGTAGCACTCCTCTTCTAGGAAGCAACAGTGCCATTCTGAATGCCACTGGTGAAAAGAATGGACACTGAAGGACGGATTCAGGGTAGCTCTTATTAATACAGTATAAGGCTTAAGATAAAGATATCAATAGATTTCAGACAAATATTTCTCTCCTTACACTGTTCTTTTGACATTTGAACTATACTAGACAGAATGACTGTTGAGTCTCTATAATTTTTCTCCCACACAACACACAGTATGCTTGTCTGGGGAGGATCACATAATTCACCTCATTTGTCCCCATCTTCCCTCTTCCACGTTTTATGTAAGAGTTTACAGGCGACTGGCAGAAATCCAAACCCGCACACAAGAGCTGATTATATATATATATATACACAACTGAAAAGCACGCAGGGCACAGGCCGGGCCATTCATGTAAACTGTTTCTAAACCTCTCCCTTTAACATTACTAATTTACCATTAGAAAATAGTTCTATCTAGCTGTATTTATATGGGGAGAAAAACTGTATTCTGTCCTTTTACCTGGCTTAGGTATGCTTGTCATATAAAACGCATAAGGTAATGTACATATCAAGCCAAGATGCAGAGTAACTTAAATTTCTACTGATGCTTTTATGAAGTAGTATCAGAACAACGCACAGCAAACACCAGGGCTTACAATGCTACATTTTGGTAAATTCTGGCCTCATGGAAACGGAGATGCTACATAGACAGGTACTAGAATATTCTGGTATACACATATGTGTATGTACTGTATTACAGAAAGGTAAGAACAGATACTGCTGGTTACAACACTAAGTTTTACTCTGCATAACATTTAGTGACAAAGGTGAACATGGGCTAACAATCGGTTAATGTTATACTCACATCAGCGTAATGGCCTTTCATATGACAGCGGTTACAATGTTTCTGCCAATAAGCTCTCTCCAGGCACTCCCTAGAGCAGTGTCCAGGCAAACAGCAGTTTAAACAAAGCCGGGCTGGGCAGGTATTTTGTAAATGGTCTCTCTTTGCACACAGGCAACAAGGGGGGATTTTCTGTGGAGGAATACAGAAAGAAGACTCTTAGATGAACACATTTCAACTGTTTAAGGTATTTAAAATATAACTGGCGAAACACCAACCAAAATAAGTGGAAGGCCCCAGAAATCATAATGTTGATAACTATGTATTCTTAGCCAACAGAGTAAGATTATCTACAACAATAATGCTAAGAGGAAAGCGACAGTTTGATGTGGGACAAACTGCATTCATAAACATAATGTGCTCAGACTTGGGATACCACGTCTATGAAACATGTAAACTGCATATGTAAGGTGTGAAAGACGTGTAAAATCAAGTTGGTTTTAAAAACTATTAAAAATGACAACGTTCTCTCTTAGCAGCATGATTGACCTCCGTCTATGCCATAAAATGGACATTCATTTGAGAGTCACGTACATGCATACGAGTGCATTTACGAAGTTATTACATCAAAATTCTGAAAGTCTATTCTTAAGCTGTGTTCATTTAAAGTCGATGTGGGTAACTAACAGAAGTTTCCAGATCACAGGCCCTGGTTCCCATGGGGGGCTTCAATCACTCTGACATCCGCTGAGAGATCAACATAGCTGTATAAAGGTCCATCCATGACATTTTTGGAGAGTATTGGAGACAACTTCCTGGTGCATGGTGCTGTGTTCCGCTTGACCTGCTGCTCAAACAGGGAGGAGCTAGTAGAGGAAGTAGAAGCAGGTGGCAACTGGGCAGCAGTGATCATGAGATGGTGGAGCTCAGGATTCTGACTAAAGGAAGAATGGAGAGCAGCAAAATCGAGACCCTGGACTTCAGAAAAGCAGACTGTGACTCCCTCAGGAGACTGATGGGCAGGATCCTCTGGGAGGCTAACATGAAGGGGAAAGGAGTCCAGGAGAGCTGGCAGTATTTTAAAGAAGCCTTACTTGGAGTGCAGGAACAAGCCATCCCAATGTGCAGAACGAATAGCAAATATGGCAGGTGACCTGCTTGGCTTAAGAGAGAAATCTCTGGTGAACTTAAACCCAAACAGGAAGTTGACAAGAAGTGGAAACTTGTCTTTGTCAGGACATAGATGCTATGTCTGGATGGTGTTTCTTTCTTCATTTCCTTTAAATTGTTTTGCTCTAACTTTTGTTCTTTTTTTCCTGGGAGTCTATACAATTTAAAACAGCTAAAAATGTAAAATATTCTTTTAGGGTCTGAAATACATTTTACTGTGTACTTACCTTTGTTTTCTCTCCATTCATAATTGTCAGAGATTTTAACTTCATGCAAAAGAAAAAAAATGTAACACCAACTAAAACCCTTTTTAACTCAGTATGTTAAATGAATCTTGTCCAAGAGGTCTTACTGTCAATTTTTCAACTTTTAAGCCAAATGACAAACTCTTGAAATAAGGTGTCTCAGAGCGGGAGATGTCTCTTTGCAAGCAGTCCTCACATTCGCGTATAGCGTTCACCACACTGTAATTGATTTATAGAGTCTTACACTGCCCACCACCAGGCTTTTCACAAATTTCACTGTACCCCATGGGGAAGAGAGGTCTCACCCCTCTCAGATCCTGAGCTTTGCCTCTCCTCCCAGCTTGCTTCCATCAATAATCTCCAGCTGATGAATTGGATCCCCTTGTTAACTGTTTATCACCCGGTCTTAATCAATTATTTCCCAATCTGGACCACATGATGCAGTGTGATGGGCCAGCTCTACCCACCCCCCAAGAGAGTGCTAACTAGTAACCACATAAGAAGAGGCTGCTTCTAAGATCAATTAAAATATTGCATTTACCTTTGGAATCGGACAGTTTTTGGACAAATGACCCCGTTTATCACAATTTCTGCAAACAACATTTTTATCTGTTGCATAGTATCGGTTGGCGCGTCTCTGGGGTATATAATTACCAATCTGAGCCTAAGGAAACAAGAAGAAAAAAAATATGCATCTATTATTTGGGCTTTTGTGGTTTAGTGCTTTGCTGAACTATATTTTCGTAGCTGTCAGTGCTGGTAAGTTCAGTTTGAAATCTAATATTATACTTGTCCATTTGTGAACCATTAGAGCTGACTAGTTCTGTTCTCTTAAACTTTGCCATCCATGTGGCTAAATGGTTGGTTGCTAAATCACTGGCAAATGTCGGTGTCTTTTTTCCAGACTAAATAAAAAGAATAATGAAAAAGATTTGTTGTCTTTGGAAAACTCTGTGCAGCTCAACAGGCTCTCTCATTCCAGGATGAACTGCAGCCCTCACACGGCACATCTAGCTAACATTTAGTACAAACACAAGTCACCATTCATCAAGGGCAGAGGGATATCAATTAGAAGTGGATTTTGGACCATGACAAATTATAGTGAACCTGCAAAAAAACCCACAACTGTGACCTCACATGTAATCGCCATGGACACTGAGGAAGTTAATAATTCTCACTCTTGCTCCTGAAGACATATTTACCAGTACGCATCAGGGTTGGCTTTTTCCCCCACACAGACAGGATGTCACATATCGCATGACATAATCTTTATTTAGAGATTAAATCTTTACTTTCTGGAGACTCCAAGACAACCCTGGCAGGTTGGCAACCCTAATACAGAAGCATTATTGAACCTTACTGGAGCTGGTTGGAGAGTTGAGGGACCCTCCAAAAGTCTGTGTACCATGCTCCTCTTAGAAAGCCTGGAACTATCAAGATTAACTTTCTTCCAGACCCTCCAGAACAAAGGGGAGATAAGTGGGTTAAGGAGTCATCCCGTCAAAAGGTCAATTAGAGACTGACGAGTATGGCTCTGCTTCGGAGAGCTCATGGATATAGTTAAGAAAAATTAATAATTCTAACCACCCCTTCACTCTTATTTATTTTCGGTTAATATAGCATGTGTGAATACAAGATGTTTTATTTTTTTAAGCTTCAGGGGGTAGCCGAGTTAGTCTGTACAGAAAAAACAACAACATATGGTCTGGTAGCACTTTATAGACTAAAATTGTTTTGTTAGTCTATAAAGTGCTACCAGACCATTTTTTTTTAAAGATTATTCTATTCTTTTCCCCTTCTCCCTATCTGATACCCTAACATTCTGTAACTGACATCACAGTTGGAAGCTGTGGAAATTATTATGATGTTAAGAAAGAATTATTACTTCAAACTGACAATAAGGTGTGGGGGAAGATGAACTCTTAAAAAGCACAATTCCTCTTTTCATGTATACCAGACCTAACAATAAAGAATAGAGAAAGAGGAGGGAAACATAGAAATACATGATATATAAGAACGTTGTATATTGTGGAATCAGGGATCTATAATAAGGGGTTTCATTACTAAGGTGATGCCCTAGCTTTTAAAAACAACTTCTGATATTTGGAGTAATTTATTAGTCTATATTACCTTTAGGTCTTTATCACTGATGGACCAGTCCACTCCATCTTCTCCTGCAAAACAGATATATTGTGAAACATGCACTGAATATTATTTTGTAAATTCAACCACAGCTGATTTCTATGCAGTCACTGAAAAGAGGTAAGACCAGACCTTAAAAGCACATCACTGGCAAATCTAGTTTCCGTTTCAACCAAGGGACACTACCACTCTGTGCTCTTGGTTCCGGTGCCCGAACCTGGCCTGGCCTGAAGCAGCCTAGACCCCCAGTTGCAGGGGAAGTCCTGCTCAGCCTTGGACTGGACCATGCCCAGTGCAGACAGAACCATTGGCAACCATAGCTATTAAAATCGAGTATGTTTTTACTGAGCAGATGCTAACAGCAATATTTCAGAGGCTTACCACTTGGCCAAACAGAGGCAGATTTTCCTGGGGATAGAGAAAGGAAAATGACTGACACAGAGATAAACCTGCCAAATCTGAAGCTCCTGCTCGAAACCTTTTCAAAGATTTTTTTTTTTAACCTGAGCAAAACAATGTATTCTCAGAAACAGCAGAACCATTCTGGCTGAAATATTTAAACAGACAAACAAGGGGGCAGACACCAATGTTCCCTCTTATTTTTCCATTTATGTGCCGAATAAAGTTTGTGCTGTGCACCAAGGCATGTGCAGATGTGCACCACCAGTAGAAACGCAGGCTGCCAGCTGTGGATGCTCTGCTAGTCAGCTGGGTGGCATGTGACTCGCTCCTGGGTAGCTGCCGAAGCACCCAGCTTACACAGAGCACCTGCCATGGAAATCTCAGCTCAAAAGGTTAACATTCAGCAAAGGTACAAACAGGGTCTTAGGATGGGAAGTGATGCTACCAAGCCTACCTACGAGATGCACGAATAAAATAACTTGCATTTATTAACAGCAAGAACTCTTAATACAAAGTGTTCATTGATTATTAAAGGTGGTGAGCTGCCTCCATTTATTTTTTAAATATCAAAAAGGTAGGTAAAGGAAGGCATTTGTGTGCAAATAAATATATTTTATGATTTACCTACTTCATATAATGACCCCCATCACTCTGGTGTCTGAGCACTTCTTCTAAGGCACCCCTCATTAGTTTAGATCATAATATGTCAATTTCTCTGAGCCAGAAATTGTCTGTGGATATTGGTGCATTACTCCCATCCCCTTACTACAATGCGAGCTGCTTGTTTACATCCAAAAGGATAATTTGACTGCTGTGTACACTTCTTAAAAAAGGTTAGCCTGAAAACAGAGTGTCACCCAAACGCACTCATGAATGAAATACAGATTTGAGGACATTTTGGTTATAAAAACTCATCCATCACATCTAATTAGGACTGTACTAATGAATTACAGAGGATGGAACCACTTTTTACAAGAAAGAATTCTGAATTAAATAAAGTATGTTAGAAGAAATTTTCACAACAAAGGCAAAGATCTAGAAATATTATGTAATGTTCTTAACAGCCCCTCAGTGTTTCAGAACACATTCTCATCAGTGAAACAGAATCCCGCAGTATATAGGCAAAGTTTCAAACAATTAAAACCAAGCTGCATACAAATCAATGCTATCCACAAAAGAGCGCCCCACATTTCCCATAACCAGAGACTTTACAAACACTGCTTCACAAATTGGGACCAATCATTTCTTATGATGGGCTCAATCTTGCGAGGTGCTGGACACTGTGGCCTCAATCCAGCAAAGTACTCAAACACATGCTTAATATTAGGCATAAAAGTATTTTTACTGATTAAACATAGTGAAGTCCTCAGTAACTCCGTGTTTTTCATAGCTGGAGAATTTGAGAATGTGACCTGAAATCCAAATCTTGCAGTCAAGCTGTGCTCCACAATTTAAGCTTTCATGTAAAAATATTCTGGGGCTCCTCAGCTATGAAGATAAACATAAAATAATATGCAGGTATGAACTGGTGCTGTTTGTAGACAGCCCAAAACTACAGTTCCACTAGACAAGAACTTTCTTGTTCATCTTAATAGGTCACTGATTATGAAACCCAAAGAGGAACAGTCATTGTTTTCAAAGCCCTGGTACTGCCAACAGTCATGCACATACACAGTCCCACTGAAGTTACTGGGGGACTTCAGAAAGAATTCAGAGTAAGGGTGCGTTTACACTGCACCCGTAGCTCAAAATTGAGTAGCTTATTTTGAGTGTATTTCGAAACAGCTTATTTCATAAACAAACTGCTATTCCAAAACGCCCCTCATTCCTCGTGGAACAAGGTTTACAGGGATGTTGGAATAGTGAGCCTGTTATATTTCGAAATAATGGGCTTGTTTAAAAGACGTGGAATAGCTATTTCGGGATACCAAAAGTATCCTGAAATAGCGCCATGGTGTAGACGTACCCTAAGCGAAACTATTTTTCAGGTTCTGGACTAACATTGTCAAATATTTCAAGCTGATTATTTTAACAACCTTTAACTACCTTAAATTTCGTGTCCTAGCTGTCAAAATCTCTCTTTCCCCCAAACCATTTCAAAGATGCCATACTCCCTTAATATAAAAATTCATGGCATATTGAAAAGTGAAACTAAGTGGAAGTAGAAAGCAATTAAAAGAAAAGCTAAGATATTGACAGTGCTATTCCAATACAGTCACCCATTATTAAATTAAGTTGCTGCAAATTTTCTTATGGGATACTTTGGAAAAACTGCAGCTGTGAAGTCCAACTTATTACAGAGAACAGAGGGTGTTGGATTTATTACCAAGAAGGCCACATATTCCAACATGAACAGTAGTGCTTTTAGTTTCAGTTAGAAAAGTCTTATTTCTATGAACACAGATTTTTAATCAATTTCAATTCAGTTTAAACTCATGTAGTTGTGATGTTTTTGGTGAATATTACAAAGGTTGACATATGTATCCCCAAATATTTAAATTTACAATTTCTTGCTGAAGAAATGTCTTTTAAAGTTTCAAAAATGTCTTAGTGGCTGTAGGTGTATCCAAACTTATTACATACAGGCTGCTTGTTTTCTATTCGTTGGGAAGAAACAAAAGAAAATAGGACTGAAAGAAACACATTCTGTGGTGAAATCATGGGAAAATCTTTGAACGCCAACATAAGAGAAGCTTCAAAACATAACTAAAAGTACAATACATAATGTACTGTTACTTAACATGTAATTATGTGTTCAGTGCCAGACAGTGGCCATGAATTTTGGAAAGACACAGATTAGCTGTAGTCTGCTCCCTTCTTCTTCAAACCCAAACAGGCTCCATTTTCTGTTCTCTCCCTCACTCTGTTGCAAAGCCCCAGCACTAGACTTTGCCCACCATCTGCCCTGAAGTGCGACCGAATGACCGATCCATGCCACATTGGCAAAGTAATTGAGTATTTCTGTGCTCCCATTTGCAGCCTGACATGCCCTCCCAAGGCTAGCAATTTACACCAGGCCTGGTTTAAACTACACCTACTTGTGGAAATGTCTGCACTTCAATAGGGCTCCCCCTCATAAAAGCGTCTCTCTAGGATGACTTAACACCACCTCCCCAAGTGGTGTAGAGTCACGGCCAATGTACTAAGGTCAATACTGCATTAGACACTGACACTGCTTATGTCGACTGTTACTGGCTTTCAGGAGCTTCCCCAAACTGACAATACAATAGATCGGAGTTTCTCACACTGGGATCCACGAACCCTCAAGAGTATTTCTGGTAGTCCACTGGCCACACTGATCAACTCTTCCCCCTCCCTTCTAGCACCTCCTGCATGCTGGGGAACAGTTCTGGGGTGAGTGGGGGTGGGATGAGATGGGGTGCCACTTTAGGGGAAGGGCTGAAGTGAGGGTGGGCCTGAGGCTGAGCAGGACTTGGTTTCTCACACTGGGATCCACGAACCCTCAAGAGTATTTCTGGTAGTCCACTGGCCACACTGATCAACTCTTCCCCCTCCCTTCTAGCACCTCCTGCATGCTGGGGAACAGTTCTGGGGTGAGTGGGGGTGGGATGAGATGGGGTGCCACTTTAGGGGAAGGGCTGAAGTGAGGGTGGGCCTGAGGCTGAGCAGGACTTGCAACCAAAATTGGGACCCACATGTTGATAAAGTTTCAGATCTGCTGCAAGAGAAACAAGTGCTCCTGTGGCGGACACGAACAGCCGGCACAAGTCAACTTGTCCTGCGGTGGACATGCACAGCCGGCACAAGTTAGATTGACATAATTTTGTAGACACAACCTAAGAGTCATTGCTGGAAGGATGAATAGAAGATGAGAGGGCTGAATGCCACTTGGAGGTAGGAAAAGGAGGTTGAGATGAGATTGCTAAGACCTCTTGGCAGGAGCTGGGAGCAGATATCAAGTGATATCTAGTAGTTTACAATTCATAATTTGGCCATCCATCTGTCCATCTGGTAGTGGGAGGGTGGAGCCGATGAGTTTCACATGGGAGAAGAGAGGAAAATTAGATGGCTGATATGAGAAACTGCCAAGGACCGCCGCTGAGAGGACTAAATGATGACCAAAGGAGTAGAGAATGCAGATGGAGCAGACACGCAATTTCCTGAGGGGCAAGGAGAGGGTGTATGAAGGTGACCCACGCTTATCTTAAGTTCTTGGACAAGCTACATATTTAAAATAAAGAAATGCATGTTCATTTAAAACAAAAGTTACATGTATCTGCAAGTCTTTATCCCAAAGACACTTACCTTACATTGGTATTTAAAACTGATGGTCTCCCAAGTGAATTCAGTGCAGAATGAGACTATTTCAAGCCTAATTTCTCATTGCCTGCTTACTCGTAGGAAAATGTTCCAGTTAAGTACACCGAGGTTTTTTTTTTAAACTAGAGAGCTAAACTAAAAGAACCCAACCACCTATTTTAAAATAAATGTAGGTATTTCTGAAGCTTTGAGAAAAATCAGTAGAGTTTTCCCTTAAAGGAACAAAACACAAAATATTGTGTTTAGAAGAAGATAATAAACTGTTCTGAGATGATCATTCTCTGCATGTGGAAAATTGTACAAAGATTTAAATCCACATGTTTAGTCCGGACTAAAGCCCTATTTTAAT